CCCTATGATTATGATGTTGGTTCCGTCATATTGTATTCTTAGTTTTGTTACCTGTGTCCCCTATGATGATGATGATGATGTTGGTTCCGTCATATGGTATTCTTAGTTTTGTTGCCTGTGTCCCTATGATTATGATGTTGGTTCCGTCATATTGTATTCTTAGTTTTATTACCTGTGTCCCCTATGATAATGATGATGTTGGTTCCATCACTTTCTGCCTTGTTTGTTTTTGGTACCATGAAAAGAGCTGACTAGAGTTTTGTTTGTTGAAATATGTGCGATGCTACTCTAGAGCTATCTGTGCTAAAGTGGTAGACTAAAGGGAATGCAGTTAGTTGACACGATCCATCACCGACTCTAGAGGCACTCTTTACCAACGATAATTGAGATTGACTGTCACATTGTAATACTTTCATAGCTGAAAGGCCGAATATTTCTAGTGACAGGTTTCGATCTCGAGACCGGCAGATTTCAAGATGACAATTCTAACAGCCAGTCCAAGGTGAACATCCTTCTTCGTTTAAATATATATAATATAGAAAGTATGTAGATGAAAATGTTAACATTTGTAAAGATGCCGAATATTTAGCTTGTTTTTAAAATATCTTACTAAAAAAATATCCTGATACGTTGTTCACAGTTGAACATCAAGAAATCATCACCGTCCATTTCTTTAATCTTTTATTCAAAATAAAAACAGTAGAAGATAAAATAAAAGCTGGACCAAACATCAAGAATTTGTAACAAACAAAACGATACCTAGCATTCTTAGAAACATATGCTGTTCGTGCGTCTAAAGTATACACAGATGGTGCCAGTTTTTATGTAAGCTGGGTACAGTACAGTATCTAAGTGTTTATCAAAGATGGTTCATGGTTCTTATTTTATAGAACCTACAAGTGACATTTATCATGCTTCAACAGCAGTTATGATTGGCCAGGACGTTGTGTTTTGTTTCTTCAAATTATACTAACTAGTTATTAGTATTTTTGAATGGTCCCAGCACTGCACTAATTTTATGTAATATATTTTGTTTCCAACTTATCATAATGTACTATGTACTGGTGTCTTGCTAACACTTCGATTCTACTAATCTTTTTTTTTCTGTATTTATATTCAGTGAGTATTTTTCACAGAGAATGTTATGTGGACAAAGGCAGACATTTAGGTGGTGATGGACACTTTTGGTAGAACAGAATATATGTAGTATTCAGATACTCTGATATCCGTCATATAATTACAATTATCCACAAAACCCAGGTTACGAAAATGTTAATAAGCTGCCAAGAGAAAGTTATCACACGGGACCAAAGACTGACTATTCACCTGAGAATTCGAGCCCCTGACTACATCTATCTCCATATATCCATGAAGTTGGTGGCATCTCAACCAGGCATTAGCCAAGAACCCACAAGTTATAGGCTTTGTGTAGAATCACAAGTTCCAATAAGTAAATCCAAGCATATTCCCCCCCCCTCCATGTTCAAAGATGTGGTGAAGGAAGATATTGACCATTTCTGAAGTGTTTCAGGCAGATAACTTTCTGAAATAGCTGGAGTAAGAAGCAAACAGTCAAATACCTGATCATGACTTACATGGTCCAGTCCTGCATTACATCGGGAATTTGGACAAGGCACAACGAAAAGACTGAAACACATTCATGGCAAAATTATAACGCCTATTTGAATCAATAGAAAATCAAGTAATCTCTTGGGCTGGATTAAAATTCCAAAAAAGGAAAATCACTAAGAATCAGGTTGTTTATATGAACCATCTGCATCATCTGCGTGGTAAATCTTACCCACTGCCATGGCTACAGCTAATCGCAAAGACATACTTACCAGTGATACCATAAAGCACCTTCTTGGTGTAAGAAATGTCCTCACCCCAACTGAGTGGGTTCTTTAGAATTATTTAGGGAAAGTAATGCGAAGTCCATTCCACTAAACGATAACAAATTATATTATTTTTTCCCTAACGTTTGTTACAGACTATACACAATTGTGGGCCTAACTTCAAATATAACGTTTCAATACAAACTGCGAGACTTATGCTTCACCTAGTTTATGTAATAAGCTTTTATAGATATAGAAACATGTAACTCACCGAGTAACATCTCTTTTCTAACCGACTGATTAACTAAATACACTACAAATACTGAATATATGCGATCATTTACTAACTTCTCCTAACTTTCATTTTTTACTCAAATATATACTTCAATGATTGATTAGCACTCTCTAACACTAACTGCTTACTCGTACTTGTAACTAATGTGTTTATATATATCTTAGTCGATTTTACTGTATCTTAATCTCATGCGCCCTCTCACTAACATGTATATTAATATATTAAAAAATAGGTTACAACAATAGTCTGGGAAACCTAATCAGTTTTGTTTCTAGCCGGAATGATTTTTTTTCCTATAATTTCTAACGTGTTGGATAATTTATGTAATAATACAGTGTATACCGATAGTCTGGATTATTTGATATTTTGTAAATGCATAGAAAAGGCAGTGTTTATTGTAACCTTGGTGTTAAGTCTTCATTTTAGAAGTGATTTGCATATTTGTATTAACTGATGATATAGCTACGTGCTCACATAACCATTTGTTTAATCAGTTGTAAGGCTGTTTTCGAAAATTCGTTCGTTGACCAGAAATTTGAAGTTTTCTCAAGTGGCATTCAAGCAGTGTCAGATTATTACTTTTTGTGTGTTGTTAACAGAAACAATTTATGAATAGTAATGAGAAGAGTGGTAATTTTTTTCTACCCGCTACTCTGTTCTGTTTCCTCTCTATATGTAATTATTTTGATGTATTCATTTGGCTAACAATTTATCCAAGTCATATATTTAATTAATCAACAACTTCAGAAACGTGACTGATAATAACACACTCTCTTGTAGATTTTTGTTACAGTTGGAGGTCCATATTTATTTTCTAATCGAACTCTTACTGTTACTCTGTTCTGCTTTGATGTTAAGTTATTATTTTGTTTATTATGTATGTTTAATTAAATGTTAAAAAATCTATTATTTTTAAACGGATTGGAACGGTGGCTGTTAAATAAAGGTTTCTTTAACTTAGGTCAGCTGTAATTCTTTCAATTGGCCGCAACATGGTGATCTTGCAATGTAAGCTTATTGTACGTGGGTATCGCACAGGCATCAGACACATGTACGTAAACACTGTGCATTTTTTATAAGAAAATATGATTGCTGTTCTGTATAACATATTTTCAAACTACATGCAAGACAACCAACACTCGGATATTGAGCGTGAGGCTCACGCATCTGGGCCTATTCTCACGATCACATGGATTAATAAATATATCTCATGTTTTGGTCAAATCACCAGCTTTCTACAACGCATTGTGTTGTTTGACCGATTTAGCGTCACATGGATCCAATTTTACTTCAATGAATAAAACGTTTTAAGGGAGGCATGTCCCTACCCCTACATGTCTACTCCTCTGGCGCGTGTAGTACTTTATCGTCCCTATAATTATATTTTTTCGGAATACTCTCTCTAACAGATTTCAAAAAACGTTGGCAACCTTCTACATGTGAATGTTTCATTTATCTGTAATATATAGGGGGTTTTCAAACAACTATAATCTAGTAGTTATGATAACGTCACGAATAAATTATTACTATTACTACCTTCATAAGGTAATCTGTTCCAAACCTTCGAAGGTCGATGTCTTCGTTACAACCGTATTATAATCTGTTTGGGAAACAGATATCTCCAAAATTATTGAAAAGTGCGAATATACTAGTTTGTGTTGTTCAGGCTCTTTTAACCTTATTATCATATTATTATCAAGGCTGGTGTAGGGTTAGGAATATTGATTTGTTTGTTCCATTTTCTGACAAATGCCTCCATCATATTTTCAAAAGATAATGCTTCAGCTCCCTCTACTGGACAACAAGACACTTTAATGTTAAACTTTTCAACCAGGCAGTTGTAGTTATTGAATGTCAGTTACACCATTCTTTGATCGGGATTACATTTCAGTAAATTGTATCTATCATAAACAGCGCACTCCATCCTCCAATTAGAATTAGTAACTATATTTTCACTCTCATGTTGTGTTATGTATTTCACACATTTGAATAAAGTGAAGTTGAACTAAACTGTTAGAACTAATTGTTTGTGTTTCTCACTACAATAGTAATACTAAGTATTTTTATTGATTTAATCTGAAGCTGACCTACAGAAATATCCTTTTTCGAAGTAACCACTTGTGAAAGATTAAAAAACTAACCGGTAGACGCCGATCTTTCCAGGTATAACACATAATTAATTATTTCATTAATTTCATATCTATTTCTTAGGATTTCTGTTTCACAAAAAAAAACTGTGATTCTACTGAATAATAATAAAAAATAAGATATCCTCCCAAGAAATAGAAAGATCCTTTACATTTCAACTGTGTCAGTATTTCATTATCTTCTCCGATAAACTCTCATGAGAACAAAATACAAACATGGTATTTTCCTGGTAGGTTTGATCTCAGAATGACTAGATTAAATTAGGAGTTTGATGGTCAATTTATTTATAAAAAGGTCTGTAAAGTGTAGCGAATTTTAGGTCCATTTTGTCATTTTCAAAACTTTTATAAAATATAAAAATATTAAGGCCTCTGTTTCTTTCTGCTATATTCTAATAATAATAGAACGAGAGGAAACATGTTTTAGATTTGGAATGGACAGGCCTAGGTTTCAGTTAAGATAATTTTAGTTTCTGATGGATGATTGTCTTATGAAATAAGTTCTCTATAAAAGCTTAAAAGGAGAAGCGATGAAAAATAAAGAGTGGATTTAAGTGTTTACTTTTCCCAATGACATACTTGAGGATGAAATGATCCATTGGTGCTCGTAGGTTATAAGAGGGCATAAGAGACACTTACCACACCACTTTTTAATAGTTGTTAGAAAAAATTTCTCGCGCCTCGTTCGCTCGCCAACTTTTCATTACACGTCCCCCCCCCCTTCCACACACACCTTTAACAGAGTTAGGCGCTCGTAAGTAGTAAACATTGTGTAAAATAAATATCTGGAGCTGACTGCAATTATTATTTCTTCAAGCTGCTGATAAACACAATCATATATATATAGAATAAAACCAACACTTGTGTAAGGTTGCAGCTTCCTTCCTCGTGGGATTTTTAGTGCCATCTGTTATTATCTTATTGAATTATCCAGAATTTTCCTGATGGCTTTTTTTTAACATATCCAAGATGTAAAAACATATTAGATCTAATATCAAATCACTACCACCTAATAACTAGCGAAAAAAATACGGTTAATATCACTTATACTAGCATTCCTATTTTAAAAACAACGTTAGTACACACCTACATTACAGCATGACTAGCTGATTAGTTTTAGTGGATAATAGTAACAGTGGATAAAATTTGAAAAATGTTTTTCGAAAAGAAACTATAGGTTTTCAGTATGACTAGTTTTTAAATATTGTTTTTGATTAGTTTCTATTCCTTCAACTTACTATTTTAATTTTTTTGTTTCCTTTCTAGTTTTCATTAAGTAAAAAACATTGGTAAACATACATTACTTTTAGTTAATGTTTAATTTGTTGAAATAACAGTGTGTTCCAGCACAGCCTGTTTCAGAGCTTGAGCACTGATTTTGCACAGAAAACGAGCGATTTTCTTTTCATCTAAAAAAAATCTGTAATATGCTATAGTAGCTCATGCACACAATGTATATATCTATATAAACATACTAGATAACACTTATTTAAAAAACTATAACCTGTAGGTTCGTATACACGACCCCTGTGACTAGGTTAACCCATAAATTACCAGCTTTTTTATACCTTTTACAAATAAAAATGAAGTCTACAAAGTACTGACACCATGTTTCTGCAAAATGAAAAATGTATCTATACTTGATATACTTGGTTATCATAGGAGTATTTAAAATCCTATTGTCATACAGTGATTGTGACTAGGTTAACCCATAAATTACCAGCTTTTTTATACCTTTTACAAAAAGTGAAGTTTACATGTTACATCATATTGGATAATTTTATGCTTTTTGTAACATCTGTCGCGGAAAATCACATAGAGTAAAATACATAGTGATCTTAGTAGTTATTAGTGGGATTAACCTTTTGTAGTCATGATGGTTTAGTTCTACAAATAGTTATTATTCTCACCCTTATCACTGTATGACAATAGGATTTTAAATACTCCTATGATAACCAAGTATATCAAGTATAGATACATTTTTCATTTTGCAGAAACATGGTGTCAGTACTTTGTAGACTTCATTTTTATTGTACAGTATATCTTTGACAAGTATTTCCTATGGGTCAAAACTCATCCTTTTAATCTTGAAGATGGTGAATTCAAAATTTACTTTTTACAAAGTTATTTTTTTTATATGGGGGGGGGGGTTAGTAATGCTGCGTTAACAATAGTTCGCAGCGTTCAATAGCACGTCTTGTCACTGGTTAAACTTGTTTTATTCGTCAGTACTAAATGGGTACATTCTAGGTAGTTCTGAAACCCAGGTGGCGTGTGCAGAGTCACACTTTCTTCTCGTCTTATTACTGGTTTCAGTCACGTAAGTATGTCATTAACAAACTTTAAAAACCCAACAGGTATGATAGCACCTTGAATAACGATGTTTTAAAAAAGTGACTTTGTCATAGTTCAATAATCAAGCCTCACAACATGGAAACACAGATGCACTATCTTGTCACATGGAGAGACATAGTTGGTTCGTGTAATGTCCTGATCCTGGACACTGTAAATAAATAAATGTCATATCTGCCATAGACCATCACGCCATGCAGTAGAAGACTAAATTGGTGAATGGACTTGATGATTAACATTTTGGGAGTTCTGGGAAGATCAACTGGAGGACCTATATCTAGCATGGTTACTCCTATCCATTAGGTAAGGTAAAGCCTGACCAGAACCAATAGAGGAATGCAGCACAGATGTATGTAACCCGTTACATTGGTATTGTGCAGTAAGGTATGCTGTACGTTTTCTATAAACCAACAAACCATGAATTTATTAATTACTGGTGTTTGAAGGCCAAAGATTTTCCAAACTTTGCAAAACAAAAAGACTCCAAAAACAACAAAGTATTACCTATGTTTTTGCTAACATTTAATTGCAATTCTTCTCACTGCATTCAGGTCAAGATAGTTAGCATTGGTTTTAATACTGTAAGGTATGTGCCATCCAGAGGAAGAACCTGCC